TACTTTTTTCATTAGCAGTGTGAGTGGTAACTGCCATAATCGATTTCGAACCTATCATATTTCTTTTGAGATGGGTGTAAGCTTAAAAATGATTTGGAAAAAGCATATATTACCTGTGTGGATATGTTTAATTGCTTTCGGTGTTGAAATATAATCCATATGCAGTAGTTTGGCTTGTAGAGAATAGATCTGAAAGATAATAACAATAATATGATAAAAGTGTTCATGAGACACTTACTTGTTAGTGAAACTGTATTGAATGATAAAGGCAATGAATAAAAGTGGTGTCTTATATAGTTTAAAGTTAGAGATGGAGAGAGAGCATGTAGAATGTGAAATGTGATGGAATTTGAGAAAAACTGTGTAGTTTTCGTGGGAAATATTCGTTGCCCACCATTTTCACAGATCAAAGTCCATGGAATGCTGTTTTATAAGGGGAAACTGCATTCAGTACATTCGCCTTTCTTCAGCAGATCAAAGTTTAACTTCGACGTGACTTAATGCAACGACGCAAATCGACCAGAGACGAATCTGGTAATTCCGAAAAAGAACCTTCCAGATATTTTGATTACGTGATTTTGCTCTCTTATAGAAGTATATAGCGTGGGTAGAAAGAGAGACTAGAAGTTTTAGAAATTGAGTTGCTTTTTTTGTACTTATTTACATTTTCTTCTAGATTGTGCAAGAATACATACATGTATGTCGCAAATGGTTATCATTTTAAGGAGAAATTATCTTTTGGTAAGTATTGAAATTATAATTATTATCAAAGAGATCTTTTATTTTAAGTAGAAATCAACGAAATTAAACATTCTTGCAATTAGAACTTATTTGTGACTATTTCACTTCACATCCTTCAGCAATAATGGTAAAATAAGCTATCATATGACCTATACTCGACTCATTTGATTCTAGATCAAAGTAAATTAATATAAGAGCACTTTAAATGACATATACATAATATAGTATCTTCTTGTAGCTTTAATTGTAATTAAATTAGTAATATATGATAAAAACTCTAGAAAAAGAGCAGAAAAATGCAAAACAATTCAATTGAACGGTAAATGAAGATGTTCAAAAAATTTAAAACAAAAGGAACAATGAAGAAACTAACAAAGAAGCAAAAAAACCAAACAAACAAATCTACCATACTGTTCTTATTAAACGAATTATTCGACTAAATTAGAAATAAAAAGAAAGAGAATAAGATTTATAAGTTACAATCATTTAAATATATATACCTGAAATGTCTTCATTCATGGTATAAGCTAATTTTGTTACCGCCAAACAATCATTAACAGCATATTGAACCATAGATAAGATTTTACTATTAGAATTGTTATTATTTTTCGATAGATCAAGACTACAACTCCAGATATTTAATGTTCGATCTTTGTTTAAGAACTGTTGATATGTTGAAGCAACAGCACATTGTAAAGCCCATAGGTTTTCGCCTCCATATGCATAAAAACCAACAAGACCGTTATGCCATTCGCGAAATTCATTTTGTACATTAATTTTAGTTGGTTTTTCTAACTGATTCGATGTAAAAAGTCGATATGGAAGAAATTTCTTTAATTCATCATTGAGATCTCCCCATGAATAGATAATATTTGATTTTTGAAATATATAAGTAAATATAGTACGACACAACCATGATATAAGTGATTTTTCATTTTTTGATAAATAACAAACTTCAATTAGAATAATTGTAGATGTTTTATTAATAAATTCAATTTGAATTAAAGATGGTCGATATGTAAGAACATCTGATTCTGTGTCAATTGTAAATTGTTTTGTATTCTTTGTTAATTCAATTAAATTGTGTAATAAATTTGTATCAGTCGATTCATTAATAAAATAAATTTGATAGTCATTTAATGGAACAAATGTTGGATACGTGGATAATATTTCATTTCGTTCTTCTTTTTTAATGAATCTTGTTCTATTTGGTGACCACACTACAATTAATGAAGAAGAATTAATGTTACTTAGATAAATGTAGAAGAAAAACGTATAGTTCAATTACTCTCACTTGTTTTTGATAATAATTGAATAAAATACGAAGGTACGCAATATAATCAAGAAGCAACTCTAGAATAATCTAATAAAAATGGAATAACTATACAAAGAACACTGAAATATATATATATATATTCTGGACAATTGCATAGAATAAGAGAGAAGGAATGTTATCTGGAAGTGATAGCCATTTGAGAAATGAGTAAATCTTGAAACAAACTGTTCCAAAAATAGAAACTGCATGAGAATAATGAGTGCAAAGTATTACTGGCAGTTTGAATTATATACTCATAGAATAACAGATTATTTCTTAAGTATTTTTAAGATATACATAAGCCCTGGAGTTGTTATCGTTCGACTAATAGAGTATGTATCATTCCATTGGTAATCATGTAGAGATAAGAGCAGATTTGATGTACATTTTCTCTCATTTTAATCCAAATTATTCTAAGAGAAGGTTTACTTTATTTTCTTCCATTATAATCATACAATATTATTTTACTTAGATTCGACAACAAAATGTCAAGAGCTGTGCGACGACCAACTTTTCGTGCAGGTCTACATGCTGAGGTAAACAAATTAAAATAAACTCTTAAATATTAATTCATATAATTTTTAATGAAAACTTATTTTTAGTATATACCTAATTCTCCATTATCGTCTCATTATGTTCAAGTTATTAGTAACAGACATCAATCGACATTGACTGAAGTTCCAAATTTTGTAATAGTCGAATCCAACGATGAACTTCGTCAAGTACCAGATATTAACACCAAATCTGAAATATTTTCTGAAGAAATCGAGAAAACAAAAGAAAAAGACACTGATCAATCATCACCATAGTGTTATTTCGGACTTTTTTCCAATTTTATATTGTCTAATGTCATCTGAATAAACAATCAATAATATAAAACTAATTCACTAAATTTGAAATACAAATAACAATATTCACATAAAAAATATACAAAGAAAACTAGAATGTTGACGAATAAAATCAAATAAGACGTTCAATGTATCGATATTATCATATATCTTTAAATAAAAGACGAAGCACTTACACATTATTTCATTTTTTTAGACTTCCAATTTATAATAACTGTATACCAATGCATTTCTATAGCTCTATACAGTTTCACACCTCCAGACTATAACAGATTGATAATAAAACATGTATTTAAGCTTGGAGGTGTTATAGCTAAAAAGGCTATAAACCATTGCACCTCCAGACCTCCAGACCTCCAGACTATAATAGATAGATAATAAAACATGTATTTAAGCTTGGAGGTGCAGAGGTGTGGAGGTGCAGTGGCGTATAGCTTTACAAAAAGCATTATTAATTTATTTTCAGAGTTTAAAGACAGACTGTTGTTGAGATATAACATCTTATAGGCTCTTTATTTTTATTATTACATCGTCACGTCATTATCCGTGAACAATGCAACAAGAAAGAACTTTTTTGAAGTTCATAAGATTACAGACTCTCGGTTTTTAACACTAGAGTGGTGCAATCATGCAGAGTTTTAGAGAATTCTATCTTTTTAGGTTTGTATCTGTTTGTAATAGACATGTGTATGTTTTCCATGTGGTTTAGTTGCTTTCAGTATCCTATCCTGAAAGAGTTTTGATATGATTAGATGACATTTAGTGCAAAGCTAAGTGAATCAACAACATTGAAGCAGAAATTTGAGCTCATGAAGTATATCTTGTTCAATATATATCTGTTTTTGTTCTGTTAATTGAATAATATTATTAGTCTCTTGTAGATTTGATTGAAATCTATGAACTTATATTGTTCAATAATGGTTTGAGCTACTAGTTGACTAAGCAAGTGACAATTGCCGTTAAAACATGCAATAACAGAACATTATATACCACCAGGTAGGCAAATGTAAAGAAGAAATAATTTAGTCAACCATGAAGTGAATATTCTTCAGATACTACACTCTCATTATCAAATTGTTTACCACTTGAATCTTCAGTACCATCTTCATCAGTTATATTTTGTTGTTGAGAATTGAGCCATCGACGACGAGCTTCTTGAAACACTGGTAAATGATCAACAGTATAAATAATTTGTTTTTCTTTCTCTTTGTGCATTGTAGGGTTATAGAAATATTCATTTTCTCCTAAAAATGAAACCAAAATCCAAATTTAATTCAATATGTTCAAATTCCTAGACTTATTATGTCATATATAAGCGTATTTATATGTTACCCATAACATATAGAAACGATCGTTCTTGCCAGAAACGTGCCATGTGGCTATTATTATTTTTATCGAGTAATTTTAGAAGATCAGCTGCATGATGGGGATTCAAGAGTACTATTGCGGGCATTGCAGTATTAATCTTTTTAATTTTACCATATTTATCATTAACCTATGGATAAATGTGCAATATAATCACTCCTTAATTTCAATTTACTGTCAGAAAAAGCAAACTACTCACAGAAACAAATTGTTGACCTGTAATTAAATCTTGTGCAGATGCAAATCCTCTCTGTGTATACTCATTCCATGGAATATCGTCTAAAACGATATAATCTGCATCATCATTCCACTGATCAGTTGCCCAGTGTCCGTGGTAATAATTTGCGATACCAGGAAGTGATAAAGCAAATGCTGTTTTACCTGAATTAATTAGAAATTTTCAAATAAAAAGGAAGAATTGCTATGATAATCGAAAAAAAAACTCATAGTNTCTCTGTGTATACTCATTCCATGGAATATCGTCTAAAACGATATAATCTGCATCATCATTCCACTGATCAGTTGCCCAGTGTCCGTGGTAATAATTTGCGATACCAGGAAGTGATAAAGCAAATGCTGTTTTACCTGAATTAATTAGAAATTTTCAAATAAAAAGGAAGAATTGCTATGATAATCGAAAAAAAAACTCATAGTATTATATGGAACATACCTACACCTGTAGGACCGATTAAGAAAAGACATTTTGGTCTACCATCTTTACGAAAATATTTAACTATCCATTCATTCACTGCATTTTCTATAAGAAAATAACGTTTTGATGAAAATATAGTATACAATGTAGTCATATGTCGATCAAAGCTCAAGAGAAAGTGCTTCTTACTTAGTTCTTCAGTACAATCCGGAAACGAGTCCGGCCAACAAAACTTTTTAATTTGTGCCTGCTTAACATGTTCATGTAAACGAGTTCTTTTTTGAAAATATTCAAGATTTGAATCAAAACTATAGAAAAAGAAGAAGAATAGTAAAGAAATACAATCAGAAACGTTTTTACATGTCAGCGAAGCAACAAAATAGTCAATAGAGTTTTGTCGTTTTTGAAATTTAAGTACCCTTTTAAACTAGAAAGACATCTTTTTGGTGCTCGTTGTACCAAATGACACAAAGCTGCATAACTATCAGTTTTAGCTAATGCGAATGCTTCTGTAGCTAATTCTGTAGTAATACTATTAGATGCTTCTAAAGCAATTTTGAGAAATTTATATTTTGTCAACGTATTAGCTATCTATTTCCTACGTTTTCCTGATGGTCGAAACAACAACTTCTTAGCCCCATTATCCATAGAGCCTTCGAAAAAATCCATGTTCGACAAAATTTAAACCTATATAAATATAGATATATGGAATGAATTTGTTGATGTTACTCGAACGAATTTTATATAGGAAAGTCTATGAAAGCAAGTTTTTTTATTAGCATAATCCTAACCTTTCTTTAAATATTCATTCCATGCATCAGCCGATCTGGTCACTTTATATTCACATTCTGAATCTATAGAAAAAGAATTATTTTATACTAATTTCTACTCTCACGGTCAAACTCAAGAACAAGAAACAAACCCATAAACTTATTCATGAAAGGTGAATAAATTGATCTTTTCTCATACAAAATGATCTGCATATTTAAACGAGGTAAAACAGCATTTGCTTTATCACTTCCTGGTATCGCAAATTATTACCACGGACACTGGGCAACTGATCAGTGGAATGATGATGCAGATTATATCGTTTTAGACGATATTCCATNGGTAAGGTTCCATTAACATTAACATCAATTTCACTTGAAACACAAACATAACGAATCATACTCGGTTTAAACACAGTAAATATATGTTTAAATGCTTCTTCCTCTAGACAAAGAAAAATTGGAAGATTATTTTGAAAGAAAATTTTCACATTCAGAGTATATCAATCAAACCAAAACTCTTAAAATGTTATAAGTTTTGAGTTTATATTTGTTTTTATCTAAAATCTCCTAAACTATCTGTGTTTTCGCTAAAAAATTGCATAGAAACGTTTATTATTACATTTTCATCTCAAATTGATGACCA